ACCAAGTGAGTGTCAAGCTGGCTCCCAGGACAAAAAGAGAGAGCTAGTTTTATTCATGTGAAAAGGTGATGGGGTGGCCTCGAAATTAGAAATAATTGGCTTTAAGTAGATTTTTAAAGATGTTTTTCTTCTCCTGGGCCAGTGCTTTGACCTTGAGGAAGTGGTAGCCGTCTCCCATAGTGATGCTGAGTCCTGCATAAACATCTTTGCCCAGGATGAGGATGAGTTGCTGCTGCTGTTAAGAGAACTCACAGATGGGGAGTGGAAGGAAACACCAACCATGACAGTAACAAGCTACGGGTCCTGGAAATATGTCATTTCAGTGACTTCTCAGCAGTTTTATCCTACATGTTTTTTTTTTGTCCTTAGAGACCCATAACCCAGGCATCCTGGCTTTAATGGCACCCAGTTTCTGAGGCCAATGAGACTGAGAGGGAGCAAGTGAGGGGCCAGAGGAAAACAGAGCTAACGTGCCATGAGTTCAAGTTCCTCAAGTGCATTAATCCTTTTCAGGGGACAGGGGCTGACTGTCTCTTTCCCCCTAAAGCCTTTACTCTCTTAATGTTAAGGGGTGCTGTTTTTCATGGGGGGTTCCTGGATAGCTCACTGCCACCCACAGAAGCTAGCCTCTGTGGACAAGAAGCATCCTGTTTCCCTTTGACCAGCACTATCCCCACCCCTAGTGATCTTGCTCAGTTCTGCTCAGTCCTTCCTGCTCTGCTCACTGCCATTGGGTGTCAAATAGGGAACCCAAAGAGATCCCAAAAAAAACCTCTAGTACATAGCTAGTACACAAAAAGAAAGAATGGGGTGGGTGGGATGGATGAAACACAGAGGAAAGGGGATGGTATGTGAGGTAGCGCTCAAATGGCCCAGGGACAGCTGTGCTAAAAGTGACATCATCTTGACAACCTCTGCCCATTCCAAAGATGCCTTTGAGGAAGAAGGGGCGGGGTCTCTCTGACACCCCTACATCCTCTAAGGAAGGGTCAGTAGCCCAGACATAAGTGGTCTCTGTGGCAAAGGCTTATTCATCTAAAACAAAGAGCAACTGGCAAGCCTCCTGTCTCAGCCTCCTGAGCCACTGGGATTAGAGGCATGCACCACCGTGCCCAGCCCTTTTTACTTTTTGAAACAGGTTCTCATTAAGTTGCTAAGGCTGGCCTTGAATTGGTGAACATCCTGCCTCAGCCTCCTGAGTTGCTGGGATTACAGGCATGTACCACCGCACCCAGTTTGGACTTTATTTTTAAATTCAGTTTTGCCACCAACCCAGTAACTTACTTGGTTCTACATAAATGCACAGAAGATGGTGTTCTCAGCAAGCTCTCAACCATAGTCACCTGTTGGAGAATACAGTACAGGTATAGTGCACACCTGAAATCCCAGTGATCAGGAAGGCTTCTCAGTGGTAGACTGTCCCTGGGTTCAATCCCTAGGGAAGGAAGGAAGGGAGGGGAGGAGAGGAGAGGGGAAGAGAGGAAGGAGATGGTAGCTCAAGTGGTAGAGCACGTTCCTAGAATGTACCAGACCCTGGGATCGATCCCATTACTAAGGAAGAAATATTTTTTTAATTAAACAGAGGAAAAGAAAAAAGACATGCTGGCATAAGCTGGGGGACAACATCTGGGAAACATTTAGGAGAGGAAGAACTGTGGAAGGGCCAGAGATGAGAAGGAAGAAAGAATCTCAGGCCCTGCCATGGCCTGGGTAATTGTCCCCAAAAAGGTTCATATGTTAAAGGGTTTGTCCCCAGCATGGCAGTATTAGGAGGTAGGGCCTAGTGGGAGGTTCCCAGGTCACTACAGGCATATCTTTGGAAGGAGATTGTGAGACCTCAGATTCTTCCTATTTCTTTTTCGCTCCTAGCTGAGGAACTAAGTGATTTTCTTCTGCGTTATACTTCTGCCACAGGCCCAAACCAATGGAGTCAATCAATCATGAACTGAAACCCATGAAACAAACCCACGCTTCAAAACCATGCAGCAAAATAAAACTTCCCTCTGTATAAGTTTATTATCTCAGGTATTTTAGCACAGTAAAGAAAAGCTGAATAATATAGGCCCTGACAGGTGGGCTAGAGAGAACAGAGGACCTAGGGAGTAGGGGGCATTGCAGAAGAGACTCAGGCAAAGCCTAGAAGGGATGCATTACCATCTTGGCGATTTCTTATGTCCTACATCAGAAGAATCAGATAAAGACACAACTGCAAGGAGAATGAGACTCTTTATTGGGACTTCTGCTTGAAACAGAAGGGAGACACAGCACTGACCAAGAGAGTGTCAAGCTGGTTGCTTGAACAAACAAGAGAGCTAGTTTTTATTTCCATGTAAGGATTACAAAGGTGGGCTGGAGTCTAGAAATTTTAATTGGCTTTGGGTACATTTTCTAAGGTATTTTCTTTGTGGGTCCTGTGTGAGCACTTCAACCTTGAGGGAGGAGCAGTCTATTGGTCAGCCTAGTACCAAATATTCCATCTCCCATATTGATGTTGCATCCTGCATAAACATCTGTGCCCTGTGATAAGGATAAGCTACTACAGCTGTTAAGGGAAAAAATACTTGTGAAGTGGAAGAGAACACAAATCATGTAACAAGTTAAGAGTCCTGGGAATTTGCAGTTTCCATGACACCTCAACAGCTTTATCCAGAACTATTTATCCTTAGAGAGTCAGAGTGAGGGTATCCTGACTTTAATGATACACCTGGTTTCTGAGATCAATAAGACTGTTTGAGAGTGCAGCGAGTGACAAGATAGGGAAAGGCTCTTAATAAATAGCAAGCCCTGAGTTAAGATGGGACATCAAGGAAAAGTACACTCCATAATTTTAACAGCTAATAAGCTATGAATTGAGGTCTCTGGAGTACATTCCCCCTTTTCCGGTGGGGGTGGGGGACAGACTGACTGTCCTATTCTTTGCTCAGAGTTTTTATTCCCTTAATCTTAAGAGAACACTGCTTGGGGGTGTTCGGGGGAGGTCCCTGACTGTCTCAGATGGAGCCCTGTCCTGTCTGGGCCCCACGGCTTAAATCTAGATGTTCATGGTAGGATGAGGAGTCAGCTTGGGGATTATGATGAAGGCAGAGGTGACCAGATTAGCTGGCAAATGGAGTGTTACCTAGGTTTCCAGCCTAAGTAATAGGATAATGACTTTGCCGAGGGGAGGTAAGAAGAGGGAGGAGATGTTGGAGCAGGGAATCAGAGTTTAAATTTGGATGCATTTCTGGGAACACTCCGCTGGGGAGTTAAGGAAGCGAAACATATGGGTCTGAGGTCTAAGGAGAGGTCTGAGCTAAAGACCTACATTGTGTAGCTATAGCTTTTTCCCAGAGCTTCCAGAGGGGTGTTCACAAAACTTCCCTTCACACCCCATTTGTATCTGTCTGTCTTTCCCACCTTTATTAGGAACTTCTGAGGGAAGGGGCTTGGAGGCAAAATATCCTTCCTAGAAGACAGATTTTCCTTCTACCTAAAGCTGGGCCAAGTTCAGAGACCCCATGAGGAAGACAGGCCAGGGGAGGGAAGCCCTGGATCCATAACTGTGCCCAGCTAGAGACCTGGGGCCATGAGAGGTGCTCCCAAACTCATCACTAATACAGGCCAGGGGTTGGAGATCTGACCTCCTCTGGTGATAACCAAACACTGGGGGAGAATGGACTATGAGTAGATCACAGAAACCCAGTCAGGTGACCATTGAACATTGCACCATCTCAGACTGCCACCATGGCACACCATACCCTGATCCCACACCCAAACCATTCATCTCAGGATCCTCTAACCCCTCGGAATCTGCTCCATCAGCTACCCCTGGACATCAGCTCCTGGGCAGGTTCTGAAGCCCCAGACAACCACCTGCCGCCCCACCACAGTGTCACACCTTGTCCTTATTACCTCTCTACCTCCAATCCTCCCATCTTCTAGTCCTCCCAATCCCCATGCCCACAAAGCCCTTGAGTCCCAGCTGCACCTGCCTAAGGGCTTCTTCCTGATAAGGAGAAAACATTATGATTTCACCGAAAACACATCCAACAAGCCTCTATCTTCAGTAAGTATTTGGTAAAATTTGGCAAGAGAGGCAGAAAAACAGAGAAACTGTGCAGATTCACATGCCCTTTGGATCTCTGGGGCTTGGAGCTTGGGGACAATTACTAAAGGCCAAGAAGTTGTTTCACTAATTCTATTTATCTATCAATCAGAATGAATTTCTTATGCTTATAAAATTTTTATACATTTTGATTGTTTCCTTAATTCAAGACCCCCAGCCCATGATTGTTCTTCTCTTTAAAAAAAAAAAAGGCAGATAATTCATTTGTGAGGTTTTTAATTTTTTTCTATTTATGTGATTGTTTCTAAATTTAAAATGGAGGATTGTCATAATCGATGATCCTGTGTATCCAGTAAAAATTTTAAAGTCTATTTTCAGGATTAATTGCCAGTCTTCCTGGGAAAGAGATGGCCCAGAAAGCTCCCCAGCGCATGGTCTCCTGGGACAGTAGCTGACACCATTTTACAACCCCTAATAGAAAAACAGAGCTGGGCAATGGTCATCAACAACTGTCAACTAGAATTATACACTTCCTGATGAAAAAACACAACACAACACTACTTATGACATATCCTGTCATAAAATAGACCCTGAGTCATTTCAAGTCTTTAAAATCTAACAGAAAGAACAGGGGAGGCAGAGGAGCATGATAAATGATAATGGATGCAATTAGCAAAATTTAGAATGTGGAAAATCCTATAATACGACATTTCTTCAACAAATATATGTGGGGGGATTAAGAGAGACTTAAGCTCCAAGCTCTAATTTTCCGGGGGGAAATGGCCAGCATCTCATTGAGGGGGTTCTTCTGCCCAGAGGATTCCAAGCCACCCTAAATCTTAATATGTCAAGTAATTAACAAATAATAAAACACAAACACTCAGAAATATATTTACAAACAGCGAAGTCCCTGATAGATCTAGTCCACATGAGTTCTTGAAGTAGACAAAGAGAAAATGGCTCTGGTGGTTTATTTAAGGGGGTACATCAAAGGCAGGGATAAGTTTTCAAGGGTGAGTCTTGCTTCAGTGATGTCTTGCAGTCAGCAGGTTGATTGACATCTCGGCAAGTCACACTCATCTCAGGTGTTGTGTAGAATCTTAGGCAGAGCTTGAAGGGGAAGTTCACCTGCTTCAGGCAGTCAATGCCTATGGGGGTTGCTCAGGAAGGTCCCAGGGCCAGACTTATCTCCTCAGGAGGATACTAGCAACATAGTCCACACACAGCCCACAGATGGCTAATCACTAGGAAAACACCAAATTCCAAAAGAGGACATCCTATAAAGTGTTTGACCAGTACTCCTCTAAATTATCAAGGTCAGAAAAATCAAGGAAACTTTGTAAAACTGTCACAGGCAAGAAGAATCCAAAGACACTGGACAAATATACATAATGTGGTACCTTGGATGAATCCTGGAACAGATAAAGGACATTAGGTAAAGACTAAGACAATCCAAATAAAATATTGACTTTAATGATAATTATCAACATTGATTTATTAAGTATAGCAAATATACCAAATTCATGTGAGATGTTAGTAACAGGGGACACTGGACGCAGAGTACACAGAAACACTGTATTATCTTCTCATTTTTTTCTACAAATTGAAAACTATTCTAAAAAATAAAATATATTTAAAAGAAGAGAGACAGAGCTCAGTGACTCAAAAAGCTAAGGCAGGAGATCATAAGTTTGAGGCCAGCCCCAGCAACTTATGAGACCCTGTATCAAAATTTTTTAAAAAGTAAATATTTTAAAAAGGACTGGGGATGTAGCTCAGTGTTAAAGCGTCCCTGGATTCAATCCCTAGTACCAAAAGAAAAAAAGAACAGAGACTCAAGAGACATATCAGCTTAATACAATGTATGATTCTTTCTTTGATCCTGATTCAAACAAACAGTGGTGTATGTGTATATGTATGTCTATTAGACAATTTGGGAAATTTGAACTTTGCTTATTTTGAGATAAGAAGGAATTATTGCAAATTCTAGGAGCAATAATAATATTGTGGTTGTATTTATAAAGAGTTCTTACGTTGTTGTTGTTGTTGTTGTTGTTGTTGTTTTGTTTTGGGTACTGGGGATTGAACTCAGGGGCATATGACCACTGAGCCACATCCCAAGCCCTACTTCTAATTTAGAGACAGGGTCTCACTGAGTTGCTTAGCACCTCACTTTTTGCTGAGGCTGGCTTTGAACTCATCAGCCTCCTGTCTCAGTTTCATGAGCCACTGGGATTATAGACATATGCCACCACACCCCTCTGACTCCTTACCTTTTAGAGATACTGAAATACTAACATTAGAAATTATATGTCTAGGGGCTGGGCACTGTGGCGCAGGCCTGTAATCCCAGCAGCTCAGGAAGCTGAGGCAGGAGGATCAAAAAGGCAGTCTCAGCAATGGCGATGCAGTAAGCAACTCAGTGAGACCCTGTCTCTAAATAAAATACAAAATATGGCTGGGGATGTGGCTCAGTGGTCAAGTGCCCCTGAGTTCAATTCCCAATAGCAAAACCAGAAAAAAAAAAAGAAATGAAATATCTAGAATTTGTTCTAATAATCTAGGATGGAGTGTGAGAGTAGAGATGGAACCAGAGGGGGCTGGGGATGTGGCTCAAGCCTGGGTTCGATCCTCAGCACCACATACAAATAAAGATATTGTGTCTGCCGAAAACTAAAAAAAAAAAATTAAAATTCTCCCCCCCCTCTCTCCTTAAAAAAAAAAAAAGAGAGAGAGAGAGATGGAACCAGAGTATTCCTGAAATAATAATTTATTACATCTGGATGATGGGTATGTGAGAGTTCTTTGTTTAATTGTCTCAGCTTATGTGTATGTTTGAGTTTTCTGTGATAAAATTTTTAAAAGCCTCATATGCTCTCCTGCCATATATCTTTCCTCAACTCTCCATAACAAAATTCTTGAAGATATTTCAAAATATAAAATGTCTGTACACCTATCCTCTTACAGATTTATTGAGGCACAATTTATATCTCACAAAATTTAACCATTTTAAGTACACAATTCAATGAATTTAGTATATTCATAGTGTTGTGAAACTATCACCATAACCTAATTTTAGATTATATCACCTCCAAAAGAAACCTTACGTTGGAGCAGGGAGTATAGCTCAGTGATAGAACACTTATCTAAGATGCATGAGGCCCTGAATTCCATGTTCCATACCAAGCACTGAAAAAGAAGGAAAAACCTTGTGCTCATTTGCACTCATGCCCCATTCCAACCCCCATAGCTAGGCAATAGTTAATCTTTCTGTCTTTGTAGTTTTGTCTATTATGATCATTTAGTGTAAGTGGAATCATACAATATGTGATCTTTTTACTCAGAACTCTTTCACTTGGCATGTTTTTTAGGCACATTTACATATCAGTACCTCATTCCTTTTTATTGCTAGTTTCATTGTATGGATGTACCATATGCTGTTCACCAGTTCACCAACTGATGGATATTTGGGCTGTTTCCATTTTATGGATGTTGTAAATAATACTGCAATGAACATTATTATACATGTACCTATGTGGACATATACTTTCATTTTTCTTGGACAATATGGAATTTGTGGGCCTTGTGGGAAATCTACAACGAACATTTTAAGGATTTGCGAAGCTGGTTTTCAGTTCCAGGACAAGATGGGATAAATGCACTTCTGATTCTTCCTAATAAATGCAACCACAATCCTGAATTTTATATATAAAACAAATAAAAATAAAATTGAGATGAGAAAACAGACTGGCTAAGAATCTCAAGCTCCAAAGAATATGATGGTGAGGGGCTGGGGATGTGGCTCAAGTGGTAGCGCGCTCGCCTGGCATGCATGCGGCCCAGGTTCGATCCTCAGCACCACATACAAAAAGATGTTGTGTCCGCTGAAAACTAAAAAATAAATATTAAAAAATCTCTCTCAAAAAAAATTAAAAAAGAATATGATGGTGAGTTTTCTGAGTTTTGTTTTTACCTCACATATATGGAACTGGGTACTGGAAAAGCCAGCAACCAGGAAATTTCAACAGGCACAGGAAAAAAAAGAAAAAAAAAAAAACTTTAACCAAATAATCAAGAAACAGACATCCTGACAATATAGAAAACTTGTAGAAAATTGCTGTCTACCTGAGGTAAACACCATAGTGGTAGGGGAGATCTTCACCTCACCTTCCAGGAAGGCTGAATGGGAAGTTTAGACATGACAATTTAGATGTTGACCCTCACCCAGCTGAAGTACCCCTCCCCACTGCTGGCATGGCATCAGAGAAGACCAAGTGGAAAGCCAGGATTATCAGCCCTGCCTGATGGCACCAGACTTCTCTCCATCATGTTTCTAGGGACTAATTGGGAAGCTGAAATAAGGGACCTTACACTTTCTCAGTCAATGTATGTCAGCAGAAGCCTACCCCTCCTGACTGCAATGCATCAGAACTCTCTTTCCTACACTGGCACGATGTCAGAAGACACCTGCTAAAACAGTTTTAAGTAGATCCAGAGTCTCATAATATCCAAAATGTCCAGGACACAAGTGAAACTCATTTATCATACCAAGAATGAGAAAGATCTCAAATAAAATAGGAAACAACAATTGACCTAAAATTCAAGATGACCTAAAAGATGAAATTATCTGATACATCTAAAGCCGACAGGTACTTTGAGGAGAGAGGGGAGATTGAACTCAGGGTCACTTAACCACTGAGCCACATCCCCAGCCCGTTTTAAATTTTTTATTTTGAGACAGGGTCTCTCTACATTGCTGAGACTGTCTTTGAACTCATGATCCTCCTGCTCTAGCCTCCAGCTGCTGGGACTACAGGCATTCACATCCAGGCTCGGCACAGACTAGTATTTTAAAGCAAGTATTAAAAGTGCTTCTCCAAGAATTGTGGCATATGCCTGTAAACCCCGCTTCTCTTGAGGCTAAGGCAGGAAGATTGCAAGTTCAAGCCCAACCTGAGCAATTTAGCAAGATCCTATCTCAAAATAAAAAAGGGCTGAGGATGTAGCTCTATGGTGAAGTGTCCCTGGATTCAAGCCCCAGTACAAGAAAGGAAGGAAGGAAAGAGAGAAAAGAAAAATACTTCAATAAAGCCAGGTTAAGTGGCCCATGCCTATAATCCAGATACTCAGGAGGCTGAGGCAGGAGGATCATAAGTTCCAGGTAGCCTTCACAATTTAGAAGCCCTGTCTCAAAATAAAAACAAAAAGGGTTGCATCTGGATTTAGTAGTAGAATACTCCTGAGTTCAATCCCCAGTACCAGAAAGAAAAAATAAAATAAAATGCCTCAACAAGTACTTATAAACTCTCTTTAAATGAAAAACATAAATAATATTGGCAAGGCTGGGGATGTGGCTCAAGTGGTAGCGCGCTCGCCTGCCATGCGTGCGGCCCGGGTTCGATCCTCAGCACCACATACAAACAAAGATGTTGTGTCCGCCAATAACTAAAAAATAAAATAAAAAAAATAATAATAATAATATTGGCAAAGAAATAAGATATAAAGGATAACTAAATAGAAATTTTAGAACTTAAAAATTCAGTAATCAAAATTAAAAACTCAGCAGAATGGAAAGTATAAAGGAAAAATAAAGTGAACTTAAAGATGGAAGGTATACAGGGCTAGTGTTGTGGCTCAGTGGTAGAGCGTTTACCTGGCACCTGTGAATGTTCTATCCTCAGCACCACATAAAAATAAATAAATAAAATAAAACTATTTTTAAAATGGAAGATATAAATTAATCTGGACTGAAAGAGAGAAAATAGACTGAAAAAATGAACAGAGGTTCAGAGATTTGTTGGACTAACAAAAAAGTAAACATTCACATCATAAGAATCTCAGAAGGAACTGGACACAGTGGTTAGATACCTGTAATCTCAGCTATTCTGGAGTCTGAGGCAGGAGGGTTCAAAGTTGAAGCCAACTTAGACAACTTAGTAAAAACCCATCTCAAAACAATTTTTTTTAAAAAAAAGTCGGGGGCACGCTCAGTGGTAAAGTGCTTGCTTAGCATTTGCAAGGTGCAGGGTTCAACTCCTGGTACCGCAAAAAAAAAAAAAAAAAAAAAAAAAAATCACTGAAGGAGAAGAAAATAATGGAACTCTTGTTCCATTAAAATAAATAATGGCTGAAAAGCTCCAAGATTAGATAAAAGGTAAGAGTTGGGGATATAGCTCAGTGGCAGAATACCTTGTCTAGCACAAATGAGGCCCTGAGTTCAATCTCCCTTCTGAAAAACAAAACAAAACCAAATTAGGCAAAAGATATAAACCTATGGATTTAAGTGGTGGAGACCCTGACAAGCTAAATTTTATGTGTTTATTGGTCATTTGTATATCTTTTGGGGGAAATGCCTATTCAAATCTCATGCCTTTTTTGTTTGTTTGTTTTTTGTTTGTTTGTTTGTTTGTTTTTGAGACAGGGCCTTGCTAAGTTGCTGAGGCTGGCTTTGAATTTACAATCCTCCTGCCTCAGCCTCCAGAACCACTGGAAACAGGTTTTTGCCACTGCACCTAGCTTCTTGCCCATTTTTAAATGATCATTATTGAGTTATAAGAGTTCTTTTTATATTCTGGATAAAAGTCCCTTAGCCAATATATGATTTGCAAATATTTGTTTCCCATTTTGTTGTTTATCTTTTCATTTTCTTTATGGTGCCTTTCAGAGCATCAAAGTTTCCAATATTAAAAAAAATGTATTTTTAAAATTGTATTTATTTGTTTGCTTGTTTATTTATTTTTACTGGAGATTAAACCCAGGGACACTGAATTAGATCCCCAATTGTTTTTATTTTTTATTTTGAGACAGAGTCTCACTAAATTGCCCAAGGTGACCTCGAACTTGTGATCCTCCTGCCTTAGCCTCCAGAGCCACTGGGATTATAAGTGTATGCCACTGAGCCCAAAGTTTCTAAGTTCAATGAAACCCAATTATAAATATTCTATTTGATTGCTGTACATTTTCTATCATGTGCAAGAAATCATTTTCGTAATAACCCAAGATCATGAATATTTACTCTCAGACTTTCTTCTAATAGTTTTATAGTTTTAGCTCCTTCATTTAGGTTTATGGTCAACTTTGAGTTAATTTTTAGATATGGTATGAGGTTAGAGTCCAAATTTATTCTTTTGCATGTGGAGACACAACGGTTCCAGTACTATTTGTTGAAAAGACTTCACCACCTTGAGATACCTGGGTACCTTTTTAAAATTAATTAGTCATAAATCAATTCTGTTGCATTTATCTATGTGTCTAACCTACCAATATCATGCTGATTTCCATAGTCTTATAGTAACTTTCAAAATTGAGAAGTGCAAGTTTTCTGTTGTTCTTTTTAAAACTGTTTGGCTATTCTAGATCCTTAACATTTTCATATGAACTTTGTTATCAACTTGCCAATTTCTGAAAAAAAAAATTAAATCAGCTGGACTTTTGATAGGAAACACATTGAATCTTTAGATCAATTTGTTTAGTATTAATAATAGTAATAATAGTAAGTCCTCTTACCTAGGAAAATGGAATGCTCATTATTTCAGTATTTTAATTATTTTCAGCAATGTTGTATAGTATTCAGTGAATGAATCCTGCCATCTTCTATTAAATTTATTCCAGAGAAATTTATTCTTTTGATAATATTGGAATGGAATTGTTTTCTTAATTTCTTGGTTTTTACTGCTGTTTTTTGTACTGGACACTTTACCACTAAACTACATTCCCAGCCCTTTATATTTTTTATTTTGAGACAGAGTCTCACTAAGTTGATTAGGGTCTCACTAAATTACTGAGGCTGGCCTCAAACTTGCAATCCTGCCTCATCCTTTCGAGTCCCTTGGATTATAGGTATAAGCCACCATGACTGGCCTTAATTTCATTGTTAAATTGCTAGAACATGGAAATATACTTGGACTTTGAGTATTGATGTTGTATCCTGAGAACTTGCTAGACTTTTTCATTAGTACTAAGAGTATTTGGAGGGATTTGTTAGAATTTTCTGCATGTAATATCATGTCATGTGCAAAGAAATATAGTTTTACTTCTTCCATAGCCTTCCTTTTCATTTTCTCCATTCCAATCTGAATGCTTACACTGTCTGGTGTACACTCCCCTACAATATTAAAGAGATCTTTGTTCCCAAGTATAGGGGTAAAACATTTGGTCTTTCACCTTTAGGTATGTGATATTAATATTTTCATAAACACACTTTCCCAAGTTGAGTAAGTTCCCTTCTATTTGTAATTTTTCAGGTTTTTATCATGAACAGGTATTGGGTTTTATCAAATGCTTTTTCTGTACTTACTGAGATGATTATGTTATTTTTGTCCTTTATTCTAACAAATTTGGTATATTACTTGATTATTGGATGTTAATTACTAATTTGATATATTTACTTCTTTTTTATTAGTTGTTCATGATAATACAATGATCTTGACATATTATACATTTGAATCAAATGGGGTATAATTTCTCATTTTTCTAAGTGTACAGGTTGCAGAAACACATTGGTTATACAGCCACGTACATACATACAGCAATACTAGTGTCTATTTTATTCTGATGCCCTTCCTATCCCCCTTTCCCCTCCCCTCCCCTACAATATATTTACTTCTTATAGGTCTATTCAGATTTTCTTTTTTCCCCTTGAATCAATGTTAGCAACATGTGTTATTCTAGGAAATTGTCTATTACATCACTTCTAATATGTTAACAAATAATAGTTGATGATTTTCTCATGTTACATCAGTATTGATGTCCCCCCTTTCATTCCTGATTTTAGTAATTTATGTCTTCTCTTTTTATTCATCAAGCTAACTAAGGAATTATCAAAATTGTTAACCTTGACAAAAAGACAGCTTTGGGACTCATTAATTTTCTCTATTATTTTTTATTTTCTCTTTTATTTATTTTCACTTTAATACTTATTATTTCCTTCCCATGGCTTGCTTTGGGTTTACTATGTGTTCTTTTTCCAGTTGTGTGTGTGTGTGTGTGTGTGTAGGTATGTGTATATGTATATAAATATATATATAAAATACCTTTATTTTATTTATTTATTTTTATGTGGTGCTGAGGATCGAACACAGGGCTGCATATGTGCTAGACGAATGCTCTACCTCTGAGCTACAACCCTAGCCCTTTTTCTAGTTTCTTAAGGTAGAATTTTATATTATTATAATCTTTATTCTTTATTTTTTTTCTAACAGGTATTACCAACTATAAAAAGTTTCTATAAACAGTTTTATCTGTATCTTGAGAATTCTGGTGTGTTTTTTTTTCATTCAGCTCAAAATATTTTCTAATTTGCCTGTGATTGCTTCTTTGATTTGTTGGTTGTTTAGAAGTGTGTGTGTAATTTTTGCATATTAGAATTTTCCCAAATTTGCTTTCATTGTTTATTTCTAATTCTATTGTGATCAGAGTACATATTTTGCATGATTTCAATCCCTTTAAAATCATTGAGACTTGTTTTATGACTTAGCATATGGTCTAGCTTGGAGAATGTTCCATGTGCACCTAAAAAAAAATGTTATACTCTGCTCTTTTTTGGTAGAGTGTTTCAGAGTTCTCCATTAGAGAATTTAATTGATGTGTTGTCCAGTCCTTAGCTCTCAGCCCTCTTTGTAGACTGAAGATAACTGCCTCCCCAAAGTCACACTCTTTTCAGAGTCAAACCACCTCACAGCTGAATAATGTGTGGATGTAAAGGCCTGGCTACCTCATCCCAACTCCAGATTAAATCTCAATGTCTGCTTCCCAGAGACCCAACCTGCATATCCCTAATTCAGTCAAACCATGACAACCCCGGTTTCAAAACATATTTTGTATCAGACCTCTTCTCACCTTGCCACCATCATTTTTCATAGGTCACCATGTAGGGAATGGCTTGGGCTAGGGGTTGGGGGAAACATGGAAGCAAGGAAACCAGGTGGGATACTATTGCAATATATCCAGTAGGATTTGGTGGTGGTGTGGTGAGTAGCTGTCTGATTTAGAATTTATTTTGAAACTAAAGTGGACATCTCTTATTGACCTCCCAATTTAAAATAACCCCAAAGTCATTCTTTCTTACCCTTCTTTATATTACCTCATACTCCTTATAACTATCTAATACTATATTTTACATTTACTTGCTGTCTGTCGTTTTGTTCACTACTGAAAATTCAGAGCATAAAACAGTGCCTGGCATACAGCAAGTGCTCAACAAAGAATTTTTGGATGAATAAATGAGCCAATCACATGCAACAGTACTTCTTGAAAGTGGCATTGAATGTGGTAAGTAAAGGCATACAGGAATGTCTGGATGTGTGGTTTCTGGTGCAATCCCAAGTAGAAACTTATTTTCCAGTCATTCTCACATTATTTTTTAAATGACAAAAAATATAATTCCCACTAAGATAGATGGTGCTTCCAGGTAGAAAGAACATGGGTTTGGAAGTAAATACCCTCTGTCTGAAACTCAGTAGCTACATGACCTTGGGCAAGTGACTCAACTGCTTTGAGCCCCACATATCACTGTAAATGGAAGTAATAATATTCTGCTCCTGAAGGTTTTTAGGTTTTTATTTGCAGTATTAACGATTGAACCCAGGGTCTTGTGCTTCTGGGGGTATTTTAAATGCGATAGTACATGGTCAATTGAGGTTCCGCTTCACACAAGCCTAAAATAAGTAAATAAAACATAAAAATATCTCTGCCTTTGGGGAACTGCCAGTCATTAAATAAGAAAAATAAATGAAATATATAACATGCTAGTTAGATGGTTAAAAAAAAAAGTAGCAATAAAAAGAAGAACCAAAAGGGATGGGAAACATGGGAGAGAACTTCCAATTTGGGAATAGGATAGACAAGGAAGACCTCCAAGAAAAAGTGTCTTTTGTGGAGGAAGGAGTAATGCAGATAGGTGGGGGAGGAGAAGATCCAAGCAGCAAGAAGAGCAAATGTAAAAGCCCTGGGATGTGCATGAACCTGTTTAAAGAACAGTGAGGAGGCCAGTGTGGCACAATGAATAAGAGGAATAACTACAGTTAGCTCAGAAAAGTAAATGGGGCAAGGAGTGATAGGGTGGATGTGTAGGGCCTTGAAGGCCCTGAAAGGAAGTTAGCTTTACTCTGAGTAATTAAAGAATTTTGAGCAGAGAAGTTACATGATCTAACTCACATTTTAACAGATTCATTCTGGCTGCGGTGTAGATAAATGGCCAAAAAAAGCAAGGGCAGCAGTAGGGGGAAAGGAGATGCAAGAGATGAATCTGGATACATTTTGAAGGTAGAAACAATGGGATTTAAGACAGATTGGAAGCCAGATGCAATGGCACATGCCTTTAATTCCAGCAACTTGAAAGGCTGAGGCAGGAGGATCACGAGTTCAAAGCAAGCCTGGGTAACTTAGTGAGGTTCTAAGAAGCTTAGTGAGACTCGATTTCTCAATAAAAAGGGCTGGGGATATGGCTCAGTGGTTATGTGCCCCCTGCATTCAATCCCCAGTACCAAAAAAAAAAATCGCAAGAACCATTTCTATCAGTAGGAAGGAGAAGGTTTATAATGGAAAATCAGATCAATTTTGAGCAAATTGGGTTTAAAGTACTCACCAGACATTGGAAGTACAAGTCTGGAATTCCAGGGAGTGGTCTGATCTAGAAATAGTAATTTGAAGTTGTCAACACAAACATGGTCTTTGAAGAAACTATTTAAATCTGGTGGGGAACCATGAAACTGTATGAGATCACCTAGGGACAGAAAAAGAAAAGATCCAGGAATTGAGGCATGAACACTACCACGTAAGAAGTCTGGGAGACCCAGCAGCTCAGGAGGCTGAGGCAGGAGAATCACGATTTCAAAGCCAGCCTCAACAAAAGCAGGGCGCTAAGCAACTCTAAATAAAATACAAAATAAGGCTTGGGATGTGGCTCGGTGGTTGAGTGCCCTGAGTTCAATCTCTGGTACTGCCCCTGTAATGCCAGATTCATGGGACCCCAATAGACCTCCAGGAGCCGAATCCGATGCAATCACACAAGAGTCTCTATTGCAAGCCTGGACTCAACAACCGTTCCCGACACAGCGGTCCTGAGGAGTGAGTCCCGGTCCTTTGTTCAATGAGATTTTATAGGTTTTGGGGGATACTCTATGTGTCATAACATCATATAGAAAATCATTTCACACCGAGGGAAAGTCAAACAACAATTAACATTGATTAGCACATTCACTGGGGGGAACAAGTTGAGTAGGAGTGTTTGGTTAGTAAAAGAGGAGGATTCCTTTGAACTGATTGTTTTAAGCCATGAGGGGTGTTTGTGCTAAACTACATGGTTTCCCAACATGTTATCAACCACCATAAACTACTGGGGGGGTCATCTGGCATCCCAGGTATTTTCCCTGTCTCATGCTGATTGGTGGCTGCTAGAGGGTTGCTATGGGTCCTCACCTAGCCTGACTGAATCAGGGACACCTGGCTCTGCAGATCTCTCCTGTTATTTTCAGACAAACAACTCAGCAGGGTGGATATGTGCCTAGGAGCTCTCTGTGGGTTTTTCCAAGGACAAGGGTCACACCCCCTTCGTTGGACAGGCTTTGAGGTAGAAGCTGTTTTCAAAACTGGAGTCACATCAGTTTCTCACCCCCCCACACACACACCAAAAAAAGAAAAAGAAGAAGAAGTCAGGGAGAGGAGGCCAGAGTGGTGGTACATGTAAAATATTCAGGAGGCTAAAGCAGGAAGATCTTGATTTTGAGGCCAGCCTTGGCAACTTTGTGAAATCCTGTCTCAAAATAAAAATTTAAAAGGACTGGGGATATAGCTCAGTGGTAGAATGTCCCTGGGTTTGATCCTCAGTATGAAAGAAGGAGAGAGAGAGACAGAGGAAGGAAGGAAGAAGGGAGGAAAGAAGGAAAGATTGATTTATCAGCATGGGGTCAATTTTGCTTATTTTTATATCTATGGTGGGCTGTTGTCTTCTTTGTGTTTAGTCACATTATCAGGGCCTAGCTCAAAGACTGATCCTCTGAAGGTCAGAACCTGAAGTATGCATGATTGACAGGTTATCCCACTCAGGAAATATACACTGAAAGAGAAGTCAGTTGAGCAAAATGAACCTCTCTTTGAAGGGATATTATAAGGAAAGGGGTCATTTTCACCAGAGAGAACTTTGTGCCCCTGCCATGCTGTAGATCACTTTAATGACCATACCATCATGGTTAGCATCAACCTCTGGGAAGCCTTTATGAAGGAAAAGCAAGCTCTTAGGCAAGTCTCCATATTCTTTGGGGATGTAAGGTCCTAGAAGACAGTGAGTGTGTCTGAGACCCAGGAACAGCAGGTTCATACTGCCTGACCTCAAGCAGGATAAGCAAAGAATGAACCAAGCACCTTCCTGACACTATCCTTAAACAGTTTCTGCCTTACACCACTCCTGGTTCCCCTTCCACCTAACAATGTCTCTGTCTCCATTGCCAATTCTTCTTTTTCCCAAGCTCTAGCCGAGTGCCCCAGCCTCCTTCTCTAAAATGCTATGAGGTCAGCAACACAGCAGAAATGGCAAGTTCAGTTCTTTCCACCCAGGTTTTTTCTTTGTGGTTCCATGAGAAGCCTAATGTTTCTTCCTATTTTCCTTTTGCTACTCATCAACACCAAATCCCCCAATCAGAAAATCAAAGAGGGCAAAAGGAGGGGTTTTTCACACCAGGTTTCCCCTTCCCAGATCCCTATACCCTTGGCTCCTCAGCTGCTGCCTCAACTAAGGAGGTGATACAAAAATGGCTTTACCAATAACACAATGGGCCTAAAGCACAGACAGGAAACTCACAAAAGAAGAATCATGAATCATCATTACCTAGATGAAAATGTTAACCCTAACAACAAAATACTTCTTTTTTTTTTTTTTTTTTTTTTTGTACTAGGAATTGAATCCAGGGACACTCTATCACTGAGCTACATTCCAAACCCTTTTTATATTTTATTTGAGACAGAGTCTCACTAAGCTGCTCAGGCAGGGCTTGAACTTGGGATCCTCCTGCCTCAGCCCCTCAAGTAGCTGAGATTCTGGGCATGCACTATCATGCCCAGCAACAAGATATAAATTTAAAGCAATAATGATATGCCATTTTGCCTAATACCTAGGGTTGAAAAGAGTAAGGACATATATATAGACCTTGCTGACTGGAATATAAAGTCCTGCACTGATCTTTGGAGAATGATATTGGCCACACTTAAGGACCAAGAGTTTTGACCCAGGAAACAGACAACCACACAAATTATGTAGATTCAAGAATACTTACTGCAAAATAGTTTATATATTTTTAAAAATTGACACCCACCTAAATGTGTTACAATAGGAAATTGGTTTAAATGAATGAGGGGGTTCATCAAATAGTGGTATACTAGGCAACTATTAAGAATGATGGCGGGCTGGACATATTGCTCATTAGTAGTGCACATGCTCACCATGCCTGAGGCTCTGGGTTCAATACCAAGCATCAAAAAATGAAAAAATAATAAAATTCAGACTTACTCAAGCTATCTACAAAATAACTGACCTATATTCTTTTTTAAATTGATACATTATAGTTATATATAATAGAATTTTTGATGGCATATTTGTACATGCACATCACATAATTTGATCAATCTCATTTCCATTACTTTCCCTCTCTCTCCTCTCTTCCTTCCCATTGATCTGCTTGCTCTACTTTACTGATCAATCTTCCATCTATTATTAATTATTATTATTACATTATAATTATAAGTGGGATTCATTATAGCATATTCATAAATTAACATATAATAATTTGGTAGATTTCATTCCCTAGTACTTCCCCAGTCCCTCCCCCGACCCTTGATCCCTTTTCTCTACTCTGTTGGTCTCCTTTCTGACCTGTATTCTTTTAAATGTCAACATCATGAAAGGCAAAGTGAGTCTAAAGAAACATACCTACATTAAAGGAATGTAAAAAGACAAATACTAGCCGGGTGCGGTGGTCCCTCCTATAATGCCAATGGCTCGGGAAGATTGCGAATGGTTGAGTGCCCCTGAATTCAATCCCAGGTACCCAAAACAAAAAGACTTAAATACTAAATACAATATAATGAGTGATTCTACATTAGATCCTGGGCCTAGAAATAAAATTTTTATAAAGGGTGTTATTGGGCAATTAGCAAAATTTGAATATGGATTGCAGATTAGAACACTGTATTATATCAATCTAAGTTTCTTAAGGTCACTTCATCTTTTGCCCACCAGTATTAGTGATTGAACCCAGGTACACTCTATCACTGAGCTATATCTCAAGCTCTTTTTATTTTTTATTTTGAGACAGGGTCTTGCTAAGTTTCTGAGGCTGGCCTCCAACTTGAAATCCTCCTGCCTCAGTCTCCTGACTAGCTGGAATTATGGGCATATACGACCCAGCCTGGCTAAATTTCCTTATTTTGATAATTGTAGTGTATTATATAAAAAGATGTTCTTGTCCTTAAGAAATTCATGCTGATGGGTTTAGAGGTACTGGCCTTGTGTGTGACTTAACTCTCAAAGGATTCAAGAAAAAAATGCTACTAATGTGCATTTATAGAGAAATAATGATAAAGCATATGTGGTCAAATGATATCCATTGGTGAATCCAAGGGTAGGGTATCCAGGAATTCTTTTTAGTATTTTTGCTGCTTTTATATAAGCTTTAAATTATTTCAAATAAAAAGTTTAAAAAGAAAAAAAGAAAGGGAGGGAGGGAGGAAGAAAAGAAGGAAGGGAGGGAGGGAGGGAAGGAGGGAAGGAGAAAGGGCGAGGGAGAGACAAATGGCACCGATGATGTATATTCCTTGGCAAGAGAGGTGTTCAGAACACTCCAGAATGCAGCCCAGGTCAACACTGGGTGTGTGCGGCTGCCGAGACACCTCCACAACCCTGGACTCTTGCTCTCTGTGCTACTAGAGGAACTGAGCATGCAGTTGACCTCAAAGCTCTCCTGGGCTGACTTAAGAAGATGGAATGAGACTTCAAGGCAACAAATTTCCTTTTGTAGTTTTATTTACTCCAATTTTATATTATACATCCCAGAGATCTCCACAGTAGAGGGAAGCAGAGATGGAAGGAGTAAAAGCTACCCAAATTCAGTATTTGCTACAAATAATTCAGAATGAAAAAGTTAGAATTTTAAATTTAGAATAGATGATAGAATATACTAGAATTTAGGAAACACTATGTTCATTTATCATTGATGATGACAAATATGAAGGCCAAGATTTCCTCCTAAAACCAGCTGAGTATCTTGCCCATTCCCCAGAAGGAGGGGAAAAAAAGAGTCCCCACAAGGACCAAGGTGAGGTCCAGAGGTCCCTGGGTCTTTTCTGCAAGGTAAATGGTTTCAAATCATGACAAGTTGCAGGTCCTCTGAGAAGCATCTGTACTCATGAGGCAAGTTAAGCATCATCTCTTGGGAAGAGGAACAGGGAGATCCCTCACTACCCCACACCTCTGCTTCCAGATCCTTCCCCTCTGGAGGCTCAGGGGTAGCCACCTTGCAATTCTCTTCTCTAGAAAGGAGAAACCAGATTCACAAACAGAAGAACTGAGACTACCCCCCACCAGGGGCCTCAGAAACCAAGCCAGTTCTCCCCTCCTATCTTCACCTGCCATTCATTCATACCGTCCTACTTCTCCCACTTCCCCAGGGGTTGTCAGGGACAGAAGGCCCCTCCTTCATCCCCCTCAATGTTCCTCCAACCCCCCCACACCACCATTCACTAGGGTGTCCAGGACATTGTGTGACTCAGGAAACAGCTCAGACATTAGGCTTGCAGCAGGCTGAAGAGGACAAGGAAAGGGCAGTGTGAGCCAAGGAGGTGGCCCTGCCACAGTGAGGGCTCTGAAAGTCCCTGCCTGAAAAGGGAGAGGAGATCTGGGCTTGGGGATGCTCTGGAATGCAGCCCCCTTCCCTGCTGCTGCTTCTGCTGCTGCCGCCACCACCGTGTTTCCTAGTTGTCATGGCCAGAGGTGAGTTATGGGGTGTGAGAGGAGGGGGAGTCCATTTTCCCTTAAGAGGATGTCCAGTGGGGTGGGAGAAATAGAGCTGACCCCCAGGTTTTGAAGGGACACTAGATAGAAGAGATTTTCCCAAAAAATGCAGACAGCCTGTAGGGAGAGCCGACCGCCACAGAAGCTGCTCCAACCCAGGCTTTGGGCTGGGTGCCAGTAGGGACTGTTGGGGGGATGGGTGAGAGGGCGCCCATCCCCAGGGAAACCCAGTTAGCCCTGGAGCTAAGTTAAGTGTACTCTTATAACCACGTTGAGAAGGGCAGATCGACCACCTGCTAGGGGGGAAGATGAGAGGCGATCAGGAGGTGGAGATGTGGAAGGTCATGGGTCCACCATGTCCCTTTCCTGTCCAGCTGTCCCCACCCCCCGGAAGGCTTGATTCTGGGCCCTTCCTGGCCTTCCTGGAGGAAATCCCTTCAATGTCTCAGCCATTCACCTCCTGGGGCCCCCTTGCCCCCCTTCTGTTCCCTGTTGTCTTGCTTCCTAGGGATGGAGTCCAGGGCTGGACTTGGAAGGCTAGAGAGTAAACAGGAAAGGGGGGTGTTAGGGAGTAGTAACTGAGAGGCCTGGGATGGAAGGAACTGAGGCATGGGACCACACGTGGACTGGAACAGGGTATGATGGTAGTTTAGAGCATGCATGGGGGCTTGCTTTGAACAGGTCTCTTAGGAGCACCTGGAGGAGGAAGTGAGACACAAGCTCCATGGCTCCATCTCATTCTCCGTTTCCATCCATAGGGCTGCTGTGCGGAAGTTTTCCAGAACCCTGTGCCAATGGAGGCACCTGCCTGACCCTGCCTCAGGGGCAAGAGACCTGCCTGTGAGTGTACCTTGTGGGACTAGAAGACTAGAAAGAAATGGGGAGGGAGAGTGAGGGAAGAAAGGAGAATGAGGGGAAGTGAAGGAGATGAAGGGAAACAAATAAGGCAAGGGAGAAGGGTGGGAGAGAAGGGAAAGAGGGGCCAGTGATGTGAGTTTTCCTCTCTCCCTCCCACCCAGGTGTGCCCCTGGCTTCCTGGGCAAGACATGCAAGTTTCCTGACCCCTGCCAAGATGCTCAGCTCTGCCAGAATGGGGGCAGCTGCCAAACCCTGCTTCCCACCTCACCAGGCTCCTCTAGCTCCCCCTCTCCATTGCCCCCCAGCTTCTTCTGCAACTGCCCCACTGGCTTCACTGGTAAAAGGTGCCAGGTCCGCCTCCAAGACCCCTGTCTTCCCTCCTTCTGTTCCAAAAGGGGCCGCTGCCACATCCAGGCTTCAGGCCACCCACAGTGCACCTGCATGCCTGGATGGACAGGTAAGCTCTGGTGGGAGTGGAGTGGAGAGGACAGGCAACAGCAGTGGGCTAGGAAAGATGTGGGCTGGGAAAGATGGAACTGGACACCATCACCACTGTTGCATATGCTGTAAAGTGAGTTTCCTTGTCATTATCCAGGTCAGAGTTGCCAGGTCCAGATTAGGAAATCAGATCAGAGAGGCAAAGCAACTCATCCAAGAGCATACAACCAGTTTTGTGGCACAAAAAGATACCAATCTGAATCTCTTACCTGTAGAAGCTGGGTGCTTTTCACCTCCTCCAAGAAGGTCATCACTGTAGGGACCCCATCATTGCTACTTGGCCTTTTGGCTAAGATCAGGTGTTATAGGACCCCAGGTCCCAGTTTTCCCCGGGTAAGGCCAATTTGCAATATCCATTTTCAGTTTAGAAAATAAGGTTGCTCCAGATATAATCCTACCAAGGCATGGCAAAACTAAGGCAGGGGTGATGGAACAGGGTAAAGTGAGCACAGAAATAAAAGGAGGAAAATTCAAATATTCAATCCACAGGTTATCTGCAGGGAGATCAGAGTCATCTCAGATGGGCTGGAATTTGTGCAATGCTAGAAAGAGCTCCCTCTACCCTCTATTGCAGGTGAGCAGTGCCAGCTTCGGGACTTCTGCTCAGCCAACCCCTGCATCAATGGAGGCGTATGTCTGGCCACATACCCCCAGATCCAGTGCCGCTGCCCACCTGGCTTTGAGGGTCATGCCTGCCAACATGATGTCAATGAGTGCTTCCAGGACCCTGGACTCTGCCCTAAAGGCACCTCCTGCCATAATACCCTGGGCTCCTACCAATGTCTCTGCCCTGCAGGGCGGGAAGGTCCACACTGTGAGCTCCGAACAGGACCCTGCCCCCTGGCAGGCTGTTCAAATGGGGGCACCTGCCAGCTGGTGCCAGGGGGAGACACCACCTTTCACTTCTGCCTCTGCCCGCCAGGTGTGTCTTCATAGGTGCTTTTCTGTAGCCTCCTCCCCTTTCTGGGAAGGGAGGGTTGCCTCTTTTGGGTTCCTTCACCTGGCTAATCCCATGACTCTATCAGGCTTCACAGGCCTAGACTGCGAGGTGAATCCAGATGACTGTATTGAGCACCACTGTCAGAATGGGGGCATTTGCCAGGACGGACTGGGCACCTACACCTGCCTCTGCCCAGAGACTTGGACAGGTGAGTTGTTTAAGCCAAGTTAATGTCACCAGTGGCCAAGTCAGCCTGTGGCTTCCCTTCCTCACAGGACTCCCAGCTCTAGACCTTGTTCCTTTCCTACCTCCCTACAGGCTGGGATTGCTCTGAAGATGTGGATGAATGTGAGGTTCACGGTCCCCCTCACTGCAAAAATGGGGGTACCTGCCAGAACTTGCCTGGCAGCTTTCATTGTGTATGTGTGAGTGGCTGGGGAGGCACAGGCTGTGAAGAGAACCTGGATGACTGTGTTGCTGCTACCTGTGCTCCTGGATCCACCTGCATTGACCACATGGGCTTCTTTTCCTGCCTCTGCCCACCTGGGCGCACAGGTATGGGGACTGAGGGGTGAGGGAAGAGTGAGGTAAAGGTGGAGGCTGAGAAGAACTGGGGGTCTCTTGGGAGGTCAATCAACCTTGCCCCCATCTGGCCCCTCCAGGCCTCCTATGCCACCTGGAAGATATGTGTCTGAGCCAGCCATGCCATGGGGAAGCCCAGTGCAGCACCAACCCCCTGACGGGCTCCACACTCTGCCTGTGCCAACCTGGCTACTCAGGGCCCACCTGCCACCAAGACCTGGATGAGTGTCAGATGGGTGAGGCACCCCACAGCAGAGCCTCTCTGAGCCCAGACAGGCCTCCACACTGAACAGAGAAAAGGGGAAGTTGTTTCTTAAATTAAAAAAAGAAAGAAAGAAAGAAAGAAAGAAAGAAAGAAAGAAAGAAAGAAAGAAAGAAAGAAAGAAAGAAAGAAAGAAAGAAATATCTCTTTTTCTTTGGGTTGGTCCTGATGTGACATCTCTTCCCTACATGGCCCTCTCCCCAGTGCTTAGCCCTCCAGGCCTCATAGATTGTCCTCTTGGTCCTTCTCTATCCTAAAAATACAAGCCCTTTCCCCAGTTGGTCTTGCAGCCTCAAATGGGCCCTCACACCTCTCCTGACAGTTTGGCCTCTTTGCCCTTCCCATCCCTGGCCCCTGTGAACTCTCAGCTCTTCTCTCCTCCCAGCCCAGCAAGGTCCCAGTCCCTGTGAACATGGTGGTTCCTGCCTCAACACCCCTGGCTCCTTCAACTGCCTCTGTCCACCTGGCTACACAGGCTCCCGCTGTGAGGCTGATCATAATGAGTGCCTGTCCCAGCCCTGCCACCCAGGCAGCACCTGCCTGGACCTCCTTGCCACCTTCCACTGCCTCTGCCCACCAGGTATGGCTTAATGGGGACTTGGGTGGGGGAGAAACAACTAAGCTGAACCCACTGGGAATTGCCCCTAGAGAACAAGGATAGCATCAGTCCAACGGGCGTCACTTACTACAGGATGTTTCTCCTCTCCCTCCCCCCAAGTGAAAACGGAGACACCTATGGACCCTAGGAAAAGAGCTGCCACAGATAGTAGTGAGGTTGTACACTGCTCAACTCTGGAGGAGAGGGGCTGCCATTCCTTTCATGGTAATCAGAGACAGCACAACACATGGCCCACTGTACACTGTGGCCAAATAAGGGAGGATAGTTAATAAACTTTCCATGGTGAAGCCTCTGCTCATACTTACCTACAATGCTCTCCCTAATCACTCCAACTCTCCCATCCAGAGATAAAGAGTAAATCCTTAAAATTCCAAAAAGATCTGTGTGCTTGAATTTGATGCAGTAGGAAAGAAACACGGCAAGGGTGCAGGCACTTCCAGGCTAGTTTTACCAGGGAAAAGTCATTTGAAGAAAGAGAACTACAGAGCCAATACAGAGAGCTGGATGAAACCAGAAAAATAATAGCTGACTTTGTGCCAGTACTGTCTCTTACATGTATTATCTTATCTACTCTTTACACTAATCCTATGCAGTTGGCATTGTTACTATATCCATTTTATAAATGAAGAAACCAAGACATATAAAACGTTCAAGTGGTTTGTCCAAGGTCATGCAGTTAGTAAGTGGCAGAGCCAAGATTTAAACCCAGAGTTTCAACATTAACCACTACACTACACTACCATTCTAAGGTGAGCAATATCCAAGGTTTATGGCTCAGACCACACATAGATAAGTATACAAAAGTAAAGAAAACTGTCCAGTTTCTTTACTCTTATATACTTATCTATGTGTGGACAAGGTTGTAGACGTGAAGGAGGGTTGGAGGCACGCTCCCTAAGCAAGAAAAGGAAGGTAATGAGGTCCTTGTTCAAGATGAGACCATGGACATGAGGATGACCCCAAAGCAATGGGATAAATATGAGAGTAACACAGCTTCCCAAATGCCCTTCACATTCCCCCACATTGGGATTCCTGTTCACTTTAGCATGAAGACCTGCCATGAACAAGAGGAGTAAATCATGCTCCAGGCAGACACCCGCTTGCCTAATTTGTACATCAAAGACCTCCAGGTTAAGCAGCCTGCCTGGGTGGGCCCCACGCTGCCTTACCCGGAGATGGCCCCAAGAGGCACTTCTAGGATGCCCTCTTACAGCTCTCAACAGGAGCCCTCTTGCTTCCTGAGGCTTTCACACCTGAAGGAGGTAGCACTGCACACCACAGCAGAGCTCAGGGTTCATCTACCCAACCCATCGGCAGACAGCAGAGAGAGGGGAGGCCTGATGGGGACACACAGCAAGTTGCATGTGTGCTGGCTCTAGAACCCAGGTCTCCCAAGGAGAAGGGGGCAGGGCCAGCCTGGCAGAGCCCCACCCTCACCATGCTCCTCTGTTCTCAGGTTTAGAAGGGCTACTCTGTGAGGTGGAGACCAATGAGTGTGCCTCAGCTCCTTGCCTGAACCAAGCTGACTGTCACGACCTGCGCAATGGCTTCCTGTGTGTCTGCCAGCCTGGTGCGTGCAGATTCCAATCCAGCCATCCTCACCCTGCAGTGTTGGAACCACCAGAGTTCTGTCCTCTGGAAGTTCTCTCTAGCCTGGTCAAAGAGTTCCCCATTTCTCCAACTCCTCTGCTCCTCAAACTCTCTTCTGCTACATCCCAGATCTTTCCTTACTTACACACCCACCCTCATCTCTGACCTTCCAAATCACCCATATATCCCTCCTTTGCAGTCCTCCTGCATAGTCCTCTATGGACTCTGCATGTCAGGGGTCCCAGGCTGGTCTTGGCATTGCCTGCCCTGGACACAGGGAAAGCTGCCCCAGGTCTTTCTTTTCCAGCTTCCTGGAACATCCCTCTGGTACCCTGCTATGAAAATAATTACATTTATTGACTATTTACTCCAGGACAGGCACTTGACTTTGTGCTTTGGAGGCATTATGTCATTTAATCTTTTCAATGGCAACATAAGGTAGGCTCCTCTTTATTTATTTTTCCAGTGCTGGGGATCAAAGCCAGTATCTCATGCACTCACACATGCTAGGCAAGCACTGTGCCACTGAAGCTACACCCCCAGTCTAGGTTCCATTTTTTGCTCCTTTTACAGAGGAGGAAACTGGGAGCTTAGAAAGTTTAAGTAGCTTGCCCAAAGTCACACAGCTGGTAGGTGGCTGAGCTTCACGTTTTCTGCACCATCCTTCTGTTGATCCATGCCCAACTACCCAGGTGTCTTCTCTGGGAAGACCTACAGGTTCACCTTTCCTGGCAAGAAAGAGCTAAGCTGTGTCTTCCTCAATGACCTTGGCCTTCTCTCCCCATCTACTCCCTTCCCCACTAGGATTCACTGGCACCCAGTGTGAGGAAGACATCGATGAATGCAGAAGCTCTCCCTGTGCCAATGGTGGTCAGTGCCAGGACCAGCCTGGAGCCTTCCATTGCAAGTGTCTCCCAGGTAAACTGGGGCCCAAACACGGGAGGAAAGGGTGGCAGGGGGCAGAAGTCTCTGCAGTCCCTGATTCTCCTCCTCTGCCATAGGCTTTGAAGGGCCACAGTGTGAGACAGAGGTGGACGAGTGTCTGAGTAGCCCATGCCCCAGTGGAGCCAGCTGCCTTGATCTCCCAGGAGCCTTCTTTTGCCTGTGCCCCTCTGGCTTCACAGGTCAGCAGGGAAGTTGTTAGAGAATAATTGAGTCCATTTGGCATGGGACAGTAGTCATTGGTGGGTGTTTGAGAGTCAGGATGTGAAACAGATAAGAATGGCACCCCTTAAAGTAACTCAGGGCAAAACCTTCACAACTGTGGATGTTATTAAAGAGCCACATTTATCCCAACATGAATGGGTATAATTAGGGCTCAGGAGCAGAGATTGGGCTCAAAGGGGAGCCATTCACTTTTTTATATAGCAAGTCTTTATTAACACTGGGGATGTGACTCAGTGGTAAAGTACTGGCATGAATGAGTGCCTGGGTTCAATCCCCAGCACCATACAAATAAATAAATAAATGCTTACTATGCCAGTCATAGAAGCAAGTTTGAGTAAGAAGTTGCTATCCTCAAGTGGTTTTAAGTCTAATGCATAGACCAACAAGTCTCCTGTTGGTATGGCCCAATGGCCCTGAGAGAGGAGAACCCACTAACCCAGACTAAAGGTGAGAACTCTTCATGGAGTTCAGAGCAGAAAAGGGCCTGCATGGAGGAGATGATGGCTAGGCTGAATTTTGAGAAATGAGCAGGAGTTTGTCAAAATAGAATGCCAGATAATGTGTTTTAGTTGGAAATCACTGTGTTTATAAAAGCACAGGGGAAATAAAAGCACCTTTCATTTAAGGAACTGCATGAGATCCAGAGCTTAGAGTGCAACAGGGCAAAGATGAGAAACACAGCAGTTGTAGGAAGGTCATGTCACACCAGATCCCATATGACAGGAAGTTAGTATCCTGAAGGTAACGGGAAGTCATTGAAGGACAGGTCTATGGGGAGTGAGTTAGTCATACATAAGTAGCCTTTGGTCCCCTCAAGGGCATAAAAGGGTTTTGTTTTCTATCTGACTCATATCCCCACCCCAGGCCAGCTCTGTGAGGTTCCTGTGTGTGCCCCCAACCTGTTCCAGCCTGAAAAAAAATGCCAGGATCAGGAAAACAAGATCCACTGCCTCTGCCCCAGTGGAAGCCTTGGCTGTGCCCCTGCTGAGGACAACTGCACCTGCCACCATGGGCATTGCCAGAGGTAACATCTTCCAGGCCCTCCATTTGCCCCTTTTCTGGTCCTCCTTAGCTATGGTAGGAGAAAAAGCAAGTGAGGAACATGTCTGTGGGAAATGACCAACGGCGACTATGAAGGAGATGACCAAGTTCTTAGGGCAAGTCGATAAATGCATTTTATATATATATATATATATATATATATATATATATATATATATATATATTTATAATCTAGAATCCTGTGTCAAAGTAAAAAAAATGGGCTGGGGATGTGGCTCAATGGTTGAGAGTCCCTGGATTCAACCCCAAGTGTCAAACAAAACAAAATAACAATACCACCCCCCATACATTTTAGTACAGTTTTCTTAATCACAGTGTTTTTATAGCAAAATAGACACACATATATGGGTTCAATCCTCCATATAAATAACTAACAGTTAGCAAGCCTAGGGCTGAGGTTGTGGCTCAGTGGTAGAACGCTCTCCTAACACCGGTGAGGCATTAGGTTCCATCCTCAGCACCACATAAAAATAGAGGCATTGTATCCACCTACAACTAAAAAAATATATTAAAAAAAAAAGTAGACAAGCCTAAAATTTAGGCACAAAGGGATTCTTGTTAAATCCTGCATCAGAAAAATATAATTCAGCAAGTGATTCAGGAGAAATGATTATTTTGGGAAATACATATATATGTAAATCCTCCTCTTATGTAATACACCCCCAAAAAATCCAAATATTTTTTAATCTCTGAAAAAGAGAAAACGTTCTAAGTTGGCTAAAAGAAGAAAATGGGCCAACAAAACAAAGGAATAGACTGATAAATCTGACCACAAAAGTTTTAATTTTTATACCTAATAGAAAAAAATGAAAGACAAATAAACGAGGAAAATGTTGGCAGCACGGGCAGTGAATCCAGACTTTCCAGGTAAGACCTTGGACAAGTTACTTGACCTCCCCATGATCCTATTTCCTCCATACAATGAGACTGATTATTACCCTTGGCCTCAAAGTAGGTTAGGATTAACTGAATTGCTACATGCCGAGCTGGTAGAATAGTAACTAGCATATAGCAAGCACTCCAGAGCTTTATTTTATACATGTGAGGCGTGGACATTTCAATTCATAATAGAACATAACCAATTTACAATGATCATGAAAAATTCAATTTCATTCATAATAAAAAAAAATGGTTAAAAAGGCAAGTATTGCTTCCCTAACTATGGGGGTCATATTCCTAAAAACACTGTGATTAAGAAAACTGTACTAAAATGTATGGGGGGTGGTATTGTTATTTTGTTTTGTTTGACACTGGGGGTTGAATCCAGGGACTCTCAACCACTAAGCTTCATCCCCAGCCCTTTTTATTTTTTATTTTAGGACAGGCTCTCACTAAGTTGCTGAGGTTGGCCTCTAACTCAAGATTCTCCTGTCTTAGCCTCCAGAGTCACTGGAATTACAGGTGGTGCTACTGTGCCAGGCTCATATGTGTTTGATATTTTTAAAAGTTCTACTTTTTCATACTTTACTAAAATAAACTCATAAAGAGATTTTTTTAAAAAAATTTTTTAGTTGTAGTTGGACACAATACCTTTGCTTTATTTATTTATTTTTATGTGGTGCTGAGGATTGAACCCAAGGCCCTCGCATGTGCTAGGCGAGCGCTCTACCACTGAGCCACAACTCCAGCTCATAGAGATTATCAGTTTTACAGAACTTAGATTGGAAACTGTTACTGAGCAGTTCCCATCCATTAGTCTACCCTCACTGGGGAGAAGCTGTCCATTGGCCTCCCTGTCCTTTAGATGGTGCACACTATTAAGTGGGCCTACAAGAAAGGACTACGAGGGGCTGGGATTGTGGCTCAGCAGTAGAGCACTCACCTAGCACGGTCGAGGCCCTGGGCTCGATCCTCAGCACCACATAAAAATAAATAAATAAAGGTATTGTGTCCAACTACAACTAAAAAATAAAAAAATAAAAATAAAAAAGAAAGGACTATGTTGTTTGTTTGCAAAGGGATCTTCAAGTGAGCACTCAGTGTCTTTCCAGTCACTGGTGGTTGTAGATAATGGCAATTATGCAACAGAGAAAATATGACCCAGGCAGAATGTGCAGTATGTGCCATGGAAAATTGTCCTCAGAGACACTCACCCTGTCTGGAATGAGCCAGTAGTCCCAGGCCAAGGATTCAGATTTGCTAGACCTGTGTATGGGCCAGGTTTAGGCCAAGCTCATGCCTTTGCAAGGCTCCCGAGGTGGTTTCGATGTGCACCCACCTGTGGTGAAGTGAACCTGTGGATGGAGTCAGATCAGGGAAGGGAGAGACTTGGCTTCTACTCTTGCTCCTTCACTGCCTTGCAGTTTGATTACAGACTAAGGTTTCCATTTCCTAGGTTTCAGTTTCCTCCTTTTGCTATAAAGGGGAAGAGTCGGGCTAAAGTGGGATCCTAATTCTGTTGCTGAAAGCTAGGTCCTTTTTCCTGATGCCAATCCAATAACGAGGACATGGTTTTGAGAAAAAAGGAAAAAGTTTATTGCTTTGCTAGCAAAGGAGAAGAAACACAGGGGACTCCTGTCTCAAAGGCTGTGATTCTTCCCACTAGCAGGAACAGGGGGTTTTTATAGAGGTGATTCAGAGAAAATGAGGGAAGAGATCAGGCAGAAGAAAATCAGGGAAAAGAAGACCAGGGAGAAGGTCAGGGAAAAGAAGCCTGGGAAAAAGGAAAAAAAAAAAAACATGTAAGTTTCAAAACCACAAAGAATCTCATCAAAGCATCAAGTGAACCCCTGTTACAATTCTATGACAAAGCAACGCAATATGTAAGAAAGAACTCTAGCCTGGGAAGAGGCCCCTGGAACTGGTGTTCCTTCCACATTCTTCTTCCCCTTATAAAGAGGGGTCCTTCCTACTCTGAAATCTGTCTCCCATCTGTTCCTACCACCACCCACCATCGCTCCTCTCAACTCATCCCCCTTCACTGAGACACTTTCCACAGCCTCCCGATTATTCCTCACCCATACCAACTTGAGCTCCACCCTGCCAACTCACTGCCTCTGATGCACATCCTTCACTGACCCCGTCCCAAAATGACAGTATCCCAGGTGCCAGAAGATTCTCACCTCAATTCTGTCTCTGCCTTTTTACAAGGATGAATTTGTTCCACCTTACATGACAGTCATGTTAGTAGGTCCTCATGATCCTGGTAATCACTGGTGAGTAATTTACATTTTTGTAAAGTAGTTCCCATTAAGCTGCCTTCTTTTCCTTTTTCAGCAAATCTTCAATATTTTTTTCCTTTGTATAAGAAATAGACCTGGCTGTTATCATGAAGTTTTGCCATTTTGACTTATTCTTCATAATCAAAAGAATATTTTTAATGGAATTCTGCTGTCAGTGGGAGCACATCTATACCCACATATGTGGGCAATGGGTGCTCCCTAGGGTGATCATCCTGCTCCTAAAAAAAAAAAAAAAAAAAAAAAAAAAAAAAAAAAAACAATGAAATTAGGCCAGGTGTGATCATGCATACCTGTAATTACAGCGGCTCAGAGATTGAGGCAGGAGGATTGCGAGTTCAAAGCCAGCCTCAGCAAAACGTGAGGTGTTAAGCAACTCAGTGAGACCCTGTCTCTAAATAAAACATAGAATAGGGATGGGGATATGGTTCAGTGGTTGAGTGCCCCTTAGTTCAATTCCTGGTACAAAAAAAATAAATAAAAAATAAAAAAATAAAGAAAGCTCTGGAACTCTGCTTTATTTACTGTTTATTCCCATCTCCTATATGGTGCCTGGGCTATTTCTTGAATGAAATGAATCCATCATGAATGAAAGCAGAAAGAAATAATCCTTAGGGTCAAAACTATATAAAAGCATACAACAAGGACTAAATGTTTTCCCTTTCTCAGTCCCCTTCTTGCTATAACCCAAGTCTCACAAGCACCAAATCATATCATCTAATCTAATCTAAGATGCTTAATTCTACTCATCCTCAGACTCCAAGGGTCTGAGGATCAGCACTTCTCACAAGATGTGGTGCATATTTTAGCCCAGCCATATTATCAGTAAACCCTTGTCACCCTCTTCATCCACTCTGGGACTCAGTGGCTCAGTATTGAAAACTTCACAATAAAGGAAGGTACCTGTTAGAGGCAGGCAGACAAGCTCACTTTGCATCTTTCTCTTGGGGTAGCTTTTTATACACTTGCAGGGAAAGGTCATCTTCAGAATTTCAAGGATAGAAAATGATTTGTCTGTACTTTTATGGCCAGAGAACCATGGAAATGTCAACTAGCACTTAGAACAACAGAGGGAATGTGCTTCCTCGGGGGCATTTTCAGCATTCTTTGTCTGGGTTTCTTTTGTTTTTTGAGTGCCCACCTCTTTTTTCTTTTCTTTTCTTTTTTTTTTCCTTTTGTTCAGTTTTGCCATCTAGTGGCCAAAATAAACTAGTGCAATTATACCCTATTCAGTGGGCTGGAATAGGGTCTTTGTAACTAAAAAAAGTGAGCATGTGTCCTTCCCCCTCTTTATTTCACCCAGTTTCTATTAGAACATGTCACTCGATTCATAAGGAATACCAAGACCTTAACCTCAATGTGTCTGGATCCCTACAGGGGTCAAGGTAAAGAAGTTTAGTTTTGGTTCAAGAGAAGCTGGTTATGATAAAAGGGAAAAGAACAAGTGAGGGATGGGTCCCGTGCTCATGGCCAGTGGTGACTTCTTCCAGGTGGCAGGGGGAGAGCAGAATCCTTTGCAAGACTCTGGCTTCTCAGTAGGAAAGATGGCATTGACCAGAAAAGGGCAGAATGGTCATTGGTAAGAGGGAATAGGAGCCCAAAACCCAAAACAGAACATAAGAGAAACTTTAATTGCTCTAAATGTGTTCAAACTGGCTGGTCCGACTGAGTGACATCCCAGAGTACCAAAACCAAGATTAACCAAGAATATTACCAATCACAACCCACAGTCTTCAAGGAATCACAGAGAAGCAGAGAGGTGTTCGAAAGCTGGAGATAGTGAAGCTCTGACTTCCAAACATGGAAAACAGATCAATGTCAAAAATGACCGATCAATGACCTTGACAATGACTTTAGGGAAAAACCCTCAAATGAGATTCAATAAGGTGTTTTATGTATCCTGAGAACTAAATGTGACCACCAGGGGGCCCTGGCAGATAAGGAAAGGGTAGGTCACACCAGCTTGTTCTGTCTTCTTGTCAGAGTCACTAAAGGAGGAGGCAGTATAGTAGACCGAGGGGCTATCTTTTGCTAAAGTCTTTCATAACATCCAAAATTATATTCTTCTGGAGCAGATGGAGAAATGGAATAGGTTAGAAGACACTGGAATTGGTTAAATGACAGTATCCCAGGTGCCAGAAGATTCTCACCTCAATTCTGTCCTGTTCAATGTTTTTAGCACGTCTTGGGCATTATATAGAATGTATATATATGGGAGGAAAAATTTAAAGAAATAGAAAATCCACTGGATTCTAGAATCAGTACACAAAATGGTCCTCAACAGACCAAATAGATAGTAATATGATGAAGTGAGTCTTTCCTCTCTACTTCAGGCCCCATGCTCTTGTTTTATGAGTTTTGCCTGGGGTTTCTCCTCAGTTGTCACCTGTGCTACAACTTCTCCCAAATCCTACCCATGGTGGGCGAAGAGCATCTTTCCCCCCATAATATCAAAGATTCCTCCTTTTACCTCTCCAGTGATTGGTCCTCACCCAGTGCTGGAACTGAAGTGAGGCAGGTGTTCCTCACTCCTGGCCACCTCCCAAGGCCAGTGGAGACTCATCCCCATAAATACATCTTCAACCTAATCTCAGACAATGGGAAACAATTTCCTATTCTATGTCAATCACTCTTCCTGGACCCTAAAGTCCATCCTTCCCTTCCTCCCTAAGACATTACTCCATCATTAACTGCACTCTTTCCGGTATCTTCAAGCAGTCCTCTGTAATGGCCCTTCCTACTCTTTTTTTTTAATGACTCTCTTTCCCACACCCACTTCTGAATCAACTCTTTTTGGAAGGAAGGGTACTGAGGATTGAAGCCAGGGACACTTTACCACTGAGCCATATCCCCAGTCCTTTTTAAAAATTTGTTTTATTTTGAGCCTGTAAATTGCTTAGGACCTCATTAAGTTGCTGAGACTGGCCTTGAAATTGCAATCCTCCTGTCTTTGCTTCCCCTGGGATAATAGGCATGTGCCACTGCACCCAGCTGAATCAAACTCTTGAAAAGACTTGTTTCCACCATTCTCTGTCAGAGACTGGGTTCTGGAGGCAAACTGTGAGTTGGGGATACAAGATGCTGATTAGAAATCAACACCTTGGAAGTCATGACAAGGAAGAAGGACCAGGCAGAGGGAGAAGTTAAATCGAGCAGCAGGCCCAGCCATATCTTCCATTACTCTTAAGAGAACTTTGAGGAGTATCACCCATCAGAACAAACCCAAATGGGCCAAAAGAGCCAAGCACCTGGCCTTGCTTAGGCCCCACATGGGGCTGCCCGGGTAGAGTGTGTGAGGAGGGCCAGACACCTTTGCAGCAGAGGACCTGAAGGAGCTAGTGGCTGGAGGCTGTCTGCTGACTGCTATCTCCACAGCTGGGCAACATTCTCAATCCTTGAGAAGGATCTAAGCAGTGTATCTTCGTGACCGCCATGTTCTCCTTACTTCTCATTTCTCCCTGGCACCATTAAACTCCACCTTCTGTCTCTACTTTTATTCTTTGCCCCACTCCAAATCCAATGGGCACTTTGTGATTTTTATTGTACAGGAGAAACTGCATCCATCAGGACTTCTCTCTCTCTCTCTCTCTCTCTCTCTCTCTCTCTCTCTCTCTCTAATCTTGACTCCTATAGCTTCCTTTGTCTTCCTCTCCAACCTCTTCTTAACCTCCTCAGCCATGCCTTACTGGTTCCTTCAGGGGTCATGTCTTCCTCCACACCCTCTCAGGGTGATCTCACCACTGTCAATGTTTAATTCCCATTTATATGCAATGATTCTGAAACCTATTCTCCAGCCCACCCTCTTTCCTAATCTGAGTCTCATATCCAGTTAGCTGCTGGACATCTCCATGCTGAGGCCATTGGAAGAGTGAAGTTCTACTTCTTCTCACTGTGTTCTCACTCTGAAGAAAGCCAACTCTTTTCAAGTGTGAGAATTGAGGGATCCTCTTCATGAACCTATTCTGTTGAGCTTCTCTTGTAGACAGCAAACCTGGCCCACTCCCATTTGGGCTTGTGTTTGAAAACATTTTGAACAATATCAAGGACTCTGCATATGGAGACTTGCATCACTAATGTGTAAATAGCCGATGCTGGGTTCGAGCCTGAAAGAAGAGTCATCACCGGTTACACCCTCTACCTGCCTAATCAGGTATGAACCTCTGACTCAGCGAGTCCCCAGGAAATAGTTATTCAGAATTTCCTTATTATTATAGGTGATGAAAGGTGATAGTATTGCTTATATTTCTTCTGAAGAAAAGAGTTCTTTCAGCAAATGGGTTTTAGCCACACTTCCCAAGCCTATGCCTGTGTGGCAGAATAGGTATAAGAAAGGCATTTCTTTTTTTTTAATATTTATTTTTTTAGTTGTAGTTGAACACAATATTTTTATTTTATTTATTTTATGTGGTGCTAAGGATCAAACCCAGGACCTCGAACATGCTAGGCGAGCATTCCACCACTGAGCCACAACCCCAGTCTCAAGAAAGGAATTTCTCAAGGAGAATTACCTCCACTTTATTTAAAAGTATTGTGTGTTCCTTATACATTATTGTGTGTTTGAGATTATATATCTCTTTCACAAACACACACACACACACATACATATCTTCCTAAATTGGAATTCCAGCTGAATTCAGTGAATAATTAGTGAGCAAGTACAATGTGTCAAGGGCAGGGCTGAGTACAGGGTAGTCCCTGCTTTAAGGAATCTAAAGACTTGGGCAAGGACTGAGTCTTAATGCAAGCACATGCCAGTTTCCCAGTGGTCACAAAAACCATAGCAACTTGTGCTATGGTATGAGTTCCAGAGTAGGAAAATGTCACCATCAAAGTTGACTTCATAAAGCCTTCTGAGAAAGATCAGATTCCAAGGAGTGAGCACCAGATAGAAATAAGCAGCAAACATCCTGCAGTGGTATACTTCTATAATCCCAGCAACTGAGGAGGCTGAGGCAGGAGGATTTCAAATTCAAGTAATTTAGCAAGACCATATCTCAAGATTTTTTTAAATAAAAAAAAATTAATTAAGAAAAGAATTATGACACACAAGGAATCAAGAGGAAGGAATGACATTAGGCAAAAAACTACCAAAAGAATATCTTCAGAAAATGACAGAATAAACAAAGACCAATAATAGGGAAGTTTTCTCAGAGCCAAGGCCAAAGTCTGGAACTATGGAAATACCCTGGGAGGTTAGAAAGGGGCAAGGTCAAAGGAGAGATTACTAAAATAATATTGTTCTAAGGAAGTGAGTAGAAAAGGCCAAATGACTGTTCCCTTACCCTTTTGCAGACTCCAGCTCAGACCCAACTTCTTCTTGGACTTTCCTTTTCCATCATCATGGGCAGGATGAGCAGGATGGTGTTGATAGTTCCTTGACCCCACCTCCATCTAGCTCCCCAAGGAGGACAGTGTCCACCTGGAAAGAGATTGCTGGGCTGTTCATCTGACTCTTCTGGTTGGGCAGAATGCTGTCTCTAATGTTGCTCAACTGGGTTCCTCCCAGCTATCCTAGTTCTAAGTAACAACAATCCAGTCCAGGGGCACTCTACCATTCAACTATATCCCCAGCCCCTTTTTATTTTTTCTTTTGAGAAAAAATTCTGGCTGAATTCCCCCAGGCTGGTCTCAAACTTGGTATCTCCCTCCATGCCCTGCTTTGTCCTTTTTCTTAAATTAAGGATATAAAGATCAAGGACAAAGATATTCTGGGCCTGACATCCTCTCAAGGCAAGATGAGATGCAGAGCTTTCCAATTTGCTTTGGGAAGACCCTAAAAATAATGAGGAATCAGGTGCAGTGGTAGCACAAACCTGTAATCATAGCTTGGGTGAATGAGGCAGGAGGATTGAAAATTTAAGGCCAGCCTGGGCGATTTATCAAGATCCTGTTTTAAAATATTTTTTTTTAAAAGGGGTTAGGGATGTAGCTCAGGGAGAGAGTAACTACTCTAGCATGGGCAAGGCGCTGGGTTCAATCCCCAATACTGGAGAAGAGGAGGGGACTGAAGAGAAATAGGGATTCTGGTAATAGAACTGCTAATGGGTTTAGGGTTTTTTACACATTATGCAAAAAAAAATTCCCATTTTACAGAAAAGGAAACTGGAACTCAAAGATGCATTGTCCAATTCTCCTATGTGAGGAGAAGAGACCTGGGACTAACATGGGCATCTTTTGCATATATGTATGGATTTTGTGTCTGGGAAGCAATCTGGGGAAGCAGCTTGAAGACCGAGCGCAGATCAGACTCTGTTGACCCAGCTACATGGAGAAAAGTTGTGCTACTTAACCTTATAACCTTATATTTAGCTTCTGAGTAACAAAAACCCAATACAACAATGTAACCAAAAAGGCATTTAAATGTTTCATGTATCATGAAGACTAGGGTAGGCAGGCCAGGGCTGATAGAGCTGCTTAAAAGAGTCACCAAGTCCCAGCAGCTGAGGGGGCTGAGACAGGAGGATCACGAGTTCAAAGCCATCCTCAGCAACAGCCAGGCGCTGAGCAACTCAGCGAGACCCTGTCTCTAAATAAAATACAAAATAGGTCTGGGGATGTGCCTCAGTGATTAAATGCCCCTGAGTTCAATCCCCTGTACCCCTCCCAAAAAAAAGGAAGAGTCACCAAGGATCCAGGCTCTTGCTTGACATCTTCACAACTATATTCTACACCTTCAGGCCTCTCATTCCAGGCAAAAAGGAGGAGGGAAAACAAAACATGCGTTCCAGATGAATCTATTTCTTTGTTTTCTTTCTTTCTTTTTCTTCTATTTTTTTTTTTGGGGGGGGGTACTAGGGATTGAACTCAGGGGCACTCAACCACTGAGCCACAACCCCAGCCCAACTTTGTATTTTATTAGAGACAGGGTCTCACTGAGTTGCTTAGCGCATCGATGTTGCTCAGCCTGGCTTTGAACTTGCCATCCTCCTGTCTCAGCCTTCCCAGCTGCTGTCATTACAGACGTGCACCACCACACCACACCCGGCTTTTTTTCTTCTATTTCTTAACCAGGAAAGCAGTTGTCTCCCTGAAAGCTCTACCAAGCAGACTCATTAGCCAAATAGTCATGTGGCCACTTCCGGATGCAGGGGACTCTGGGAAATTATTTCTAAGTAGGCACAATGACACCACAGACAAAATTGAGATCCCGAGGGAGAAAAAGATGATGAGTCTGAGGCCATCAGTTATGTCTGGCAGAGTTTATCAAGATGTGCAGCCAAAAGAGAAGACACAGGAGCTGCTGAAACAGGACATTCAGAGGAATGAGGAGGCGATACTAGAGTAATCTAGTAAGCCACCTGCAGTGGCTTGCAGTGGCTTATCCTGTTTCTGTGGGCGTCAGCATGAGGCTGACAGGAGAGAATGGGTTGTTTCTCTTGGCTTGGACTCCAAACCTTCCCCCGGTTCCAAGTCTGGGTTCTTTCTGCTGCCCACCACTTTTGCAAACCATGTTCAGTAACCCTTGGACATCCCCTGGAGGGGCCTCTGGGGGCTCTGATGACTCTCCAGGCAGGTGTACAGAAGGCAGGGCTCAATTCCTTGGTCTTCTTTACCTAAAGGTATTTCCTTTCTAAAGTGTGTTTGTGTGTGTGTGTGTGTGTGTGTGTGTGTTGTGGTGTTAGGGATAGAATCAAGGCCTCCCACATGCTAGCAAGAGCTCTTCCACTGAGCTATCTCAACATCTCCCTCTTTTTCTTAGGAGCTTATTATTGTACAGCAGTATTAGGTTCCTAGCCAAATAGGAGGCACAGAAATATCCCATGTATTCCTGCCCCCACCACACGCATAGCCTTCCCCCACCAGAGTAATGTATTTGTTACAATTGATGGACCTACACTGACATCATTATTACCCAGAATCCATAGCTTACATTACGTTCACTCTGTTCTGCTCCAGCGCTGCCCCTGTTTCCTTCCTTCCTTCCTTCCTTCCTTCCTTCCTTTCATATCAGAGATTGAAATTAGGGGCACTTAACCACTGAGCCTCATCCCCAGCCCTTTTTATTTTTTATTTTGAGACAGGGTCTTGCTCAGTTGCTTAGGGCTTCTCTACATGGCTGAAGCTGGGATTACAGGCATGCACCACTACACCCACCTTAAATTTTATTTTGAGACATGGTCTCACTAAATTATCCAGGATCCCCTGGAATTTGTGACCCTCCTGCCACAGCCTTTCAGGATGCTGGGATTGAACCCAGAGGTGTGAACTATTCACATGGGGCTCCACAAATAGCTCTTCCCAATTTGGTGTCTGCATTAAAATAAAGCAAGAGAAATTAAAGGCAAACAAACAAAAAGGTGAGAGGGAGACATAAAAGAAGGACAAGGAAATCTAATTTTAATTTAAAGTTCTACATACTTTTTCAGGACTGTCACTCCCCAAGCCAGTCTCCCTCCCAGGTCTGCTGCTCCTGTAACTCTGGAAAATTTGTAAATCTTAGTGTTACTGTAAATTCACTCACTTACAACAATGATGTTCTTCATTGTTAATTAGGCCACCAGTCAATAGATGAAGCAAAGAGAAATGCAATATTTTAAGAAATCTGTAATTTAGGGGACTTTCCAGTGTTCTCCATTGATCAGATAATAAGGACCATGTTAACCTAAGAACCAACCTGATGTCATCTTTACATGTCTTCCCATACCTACCAAGTTTTCTTTAAAAGAGTCGGAATCCCCCCAAAATTCATCTTTCACTCTCAAGGTAGTTCATATTCTCCCTTGAATATATATTCCTTGCTTTCCTAAATAAATCTCTAAGCGTCCACTGTTGAAATTCGTTTCCATCAAGTATGTCAAGGACCCCCACAGGTCCTGAGGAATTCCTGGAGTAGGGGGAATGTGCATTCCCTCTTCCAGAAACATCTCTTCTATCACAAGAAAATGCTACTTTCTAAAATGAGGAAGCCAGAGGTCAGACATCTGCAGAGGCAATTTGTAAATGAGCAGTGAACTGGGATATTCCAGAAGGTTCCATAGGGGAGTTCAGGATCTATTCCAGGTGAGGTGGGTTCCATCCCTTGGCAGCAGGTCCAGGGAAACGGCATCCTAACAGAAGGGGTGGGTCTGAACTGAAGAATAGAAGGTGTCTGCTTTCAGCTTACTTTCATTCAGTAGTCTGAAATTGGATGGAAGAAAGAAAAAAGCAAAAGAGGAGTCTCAGTGGTGACTGGAAGGTCAGTGGCTCTCAGGACAAGTGGAGGAATTCACTACTGATCACTGTGCAGGACAGATAGCTGTGAGCAGTCTACTGAGAACCTTTGTGTGCATTAAAAAAAAAAACAAACATATCAGGTATTGTGGTAATCCCAGTGACTCAGGAAGCTAAAACAGGATGATAGCAAGTTTGAGGCCAGCCTCAGCACCCTAAGTAACTTAGCGAACCCTGTCTCAAAATTTTAGAAATCAATAAATTAATTAAAAAGGCTGAGCATGTCTTGGAATAAATAAATAATTTTTTTAAAAGGCTGAGCATGTGGCTCAGTGGTTAAGCACAACTGAGTTCAATTTCCATTACCCCCCCCCCCAAAAAAAAAATCCTCAGGGTGGATAGAGTAGGAAAGGCACTTCCTCTGGGCATAGGCAGCTCACAGGCGTACAAGTTTCGCAACAAAGTTTTGTGCAAGTTAGAAAGAGGGGCTCCTTCCTCTGGGCAGTATCCTTTGCTTTACATCCTAGTGTGAGACCAAGGGAGCCCAGCACAGCCCCATCCACTGCTTTTGCTGGAGTTCATGGGCAGGACACAAGATGCTCAACTTTGCTTGTGACCTGGGTTATCTGTTGGAGTGCATGACCAGCTAGGGACATAGCCTTGGAAAAAAGGAAGAAGAGGATGGAGATTCTTCCTTCTCTCTTTGGCCCTTGTTGTAATGTGGTGGACACAAGTTCCTGTGTACACACACACACACACACACGTGCACAAAATCAGGAGTATTTGGGATAGAACTTAAATTACATCTAAAAATAGGACAATTGTCAGGTTAGGGAGGTTCTTACTACTCACAATTCCTAAAATTAAATGTAATTATATCTTGGAAACCCAACAAATAGACAGCAAACATGAAATCAAATAATCAGAGTTTGGTAAAGTTTAAAGAAGCTCATGTTACTCCCATAAATAAACAGAGAAGAAAGCCAAGGGCCAATATAAAGAGCTCTGTATAATTCTAAAGCTGTAAGCCTTCTGGAGGTAGGGAAGAGCCAACTTGCAGAGATCCAATATCTATTCTTCCATTCCTTCTTCTAATTGAACCCTAATTTTATTTGAATTAGCAAAATTCTATGTTTAATTTGTGTGTGTGTGTGCCACTGCCTGGCAAGAAATGGGATTCTTGAGTCAGCCAGGTGATGCACACCTGTAATCCCAGCAACTAGGAAGACTGAGGAAGGAGGATAGAAAGTTTGAGGCCAGCCTCAGCAA